CAGCTGTGCGGTTTCCTTAAAACCAAACGTCAACTACAGAATACATTTTTATTAGAAATTACTCCTTCACGAACTTAGCAATAAAAAAGCCGATAGTATCGGCATCCGCTGTTAAAAATTCGGTGGGGCATTCGCGAAACGCATCTTCGCCATAATCCGTGAGACACTCGGCATTTTGAGCGCTGTGCATCTTACAGTACCTTCTTGGGTCAAACTTTTGAAGTAAATGGAAACCAGTTTCCATTTCCGTATGTCCTTTCTCCAGTGGTGAAATGAACGGTTGCTAAAAAAAACATGATCACTGAAGTTACGTCAGCAGCCAATAACGTCAAAAATCGAAGATCCGTGTAACATAAGTGATGTTGCGTATATAACTGTCCCTTTATTTAAGCAGTAAAGGATATGTGAGATTATGAACTTCAGGAAACGAATTTTTGAGTCCAGATCAATCTGTCTAATAATCATTCCGAATGGAAACAGCAGCTCCAAGATACTTTCAAGTGGTTCCTATCCTGAACAAATCTGTCAAGCTTCAGGTGTACGATATCATGGCGCAACAATGCTAGGTACTCTTTTGTAGCGGTCATCATCTTATCTAGACTGTATCATGATCTGATCCTTTACAAATGAACACAATAAGCCGCAATCGGCAGTTTTCAAGCTAAAAATCAGAATGTCTTCTGTTGTTCATACATGGAAACTGATAAGATTTCCATGTATCTTTGCGAATCTGCTATTAGTGTAAGGCAACGACTGGCATAGAAATATGAAAGTGAAAGGACTTCAAAAAGTCCCAGGTAGAATCGTCAACTCTGTAGCATTAAATTAAATTACTGAATTACTGTAAAGTACAGATGATCGTTACGAAGCAATAAAAACCACTAATATCATATTCAGCGTGTAGGTAAGACCGCAGACTCAACAATAAATGAAAAAGCAGCTTGGTAGTGATGTGGTTATAATATAACCATTACACAAACTATTATCAGCAGTCACTTGTGGTTGAATATGGGATCGTTGTGAAAGGCGTAGCCTCTCACAAATGCGATACATAACTTCTCAATCAGTAAACCTGTTTGAGCATACTGCTTGCTCATCAGTTTCTCCATCTTCTGAAAGCCATCAGAACGGGTGACGATGCAGTTTTATTTGGAATGTTCACAGCAATTGCGAGAGGACTAAATTCCGTTAGTAGACACGCAAAATAACCAAACAAGGGACAAGGGTGTTCGGATGTCAGTTATACATTGACAAAATGTAGATTATTTCAACGGATTGTCCATTATAAACACATTCTTACAGCATCGAAGAGTGCATCAGTACACCTGCTACCGAGAAGCTTGTGCACGGAAGTCGATGATCGATATGATAATCGTATCGCATGACTTAAGACACTCAGTAATGGATGTTCGTGTAAAGAGAGGCGCAGAGCTATCAACCGATCATCACCTTGCTGTTCGCACGCTACACTAAAAAACAGTCTACCGCACGAAGATCTGCTGGCAGAAGCAAACAGAGAATCAAATGGGAAATATTA